TTCTGTGATTCTATGAAATAAAAACAAGACTAAAGAGGGCTTTTACGCAGAGGATAGTCTATGAAGGAAGGGTTCCATGTACCCTTCTGCCTATACCAATGAAGCAAATGAAGGGGAAAAAGAGCAAGTAGTGCCTGTATTAACAAATAAATTAAATTTAAACTATAATCAGATGAATAGGATTTCTGGATGGGTAGTCCTGGAGGATGCTGTGTAAGTGGTGTTCCTTAGGCAGTCATTCTAGTGATCAGCAGAAATTCTCTTACCAGCAGCTGTGGATTGTTATTTGAGACTAAGGATTAACTTAATTAAAGAGGTATGCCAGGTTCCTAAAGGCCAGAATGCAAATAAGTATTTATAAATTCTGTATTTGATGGTGTCGTGAGAACTACTGAGCCAGGTTGGAGAGGTGAGTCAGCCATTATGTTCCTCTGGGGTGACTGGATGCAATACAGCACGTGGCTGGGGGAGAAGCAAGGTGGGAAATGGTGGGAGTTCATTTTTGTTCATTTCCAGCTCAGGAATCGTTTTGGAGCTAAAAAAATCTTAGAGGGCTTCTGAAGCTTACCCAAGCCATTTATTATTTCATTATACCATTAAGTACAAACCAGTGCAATACTTGAATTTGAATTTTTAAACAGTTTACAAACATGTGTTTATTAATCCCAGAAAAAAAGTTGATGGCAGTTAATTATTAGCTGTCTTCTAAAGATAAGAGGAATTTTTAGGCCACCCAAAGCACTAAGGCGAGGTCTGAATTTAAAGAGTTTTTGTCAAAAACCTCACCCCTCTCCATAACTGATTAAGTTGGCAACCTCTTTATTAAGAGCAACCTTGGAAAAATACCTGACTTACGAGTTGCCTTAATGTTCCTGCTCTTATCTCTTGACAGTTGCTGGTTCAAGGAGCCATCAAGGATTCAAATTTAATTAAAGCTTTCATAATTCTGAAAAACATCTTGCTCCTAGTGAATATGTCTGTGAAAGATTATATTCTTTTTGGACACAGTAAGCTATAGTTTTACATACAGAAAGTAGGTTGAGAAATTTGCGAAGGATACTAGTTCTACCAGAGATTTTTCTTTTTATTTGAAATGCAAATCTCAAATTGGGATTTATAGAGTAAAGCTAGTGGAGCGAAATATTTAGGGCATTCAGACCAGTTTGCTCCGTCTGCACTTCCTGGAAGATCTTATTACTTAGGTAATTATAACTAACTGGGTTGCAATATCTTTTTCTGTGGGCTGGGCTCTACATTAGTATGAGTGTGTGGCTTAGAAGGGATGATGATAATTTAGACTTACTTCTTCTTAACAGTAAAACTTTGGCTATTAATAGTGAGGAATTTTTCCTAATCAGGAAAAAAAGTAAATTCTTTTCTTCTTAGGGACCTGAAAAGGTGAGTAGATCCTGTTCTTGTATTTTGCTGGTATATAAATTGATCTAATACGTACTGAAAGTTAGTATTTGCTAACATTAAAGCTTGCACTATAATGTTAGAGATAGTTTTTGTTTAGTCCTTACTAAAGCTGAAAAAAATCATGTTTTAAAATATATGTATATTATTATATAGGAACATGAGTCATGGTATTTTGCATCTGTTGATGTCATTCAGGAATGAAAACTGTAAAATGAATTGCAGTTAAAATACCAGCAAATAGATTGATCCTGTTTGAGACACACGGCATGCCTTGGGATTGATAATAAAAAAGAATCTACAACTGCAGATATTTCTAAAGAAGTAGATCAGAAATAGTAACTGAAAGCATATAACACCTAACAAGTTATTTTCATAATATTGCTCAGAACAGTCAAACTGTAAGAAGGGAGTGTCTGGGAAAGTAAGACTTGCCTGAAGCACAAGCAACAGGTCTGTCTAGAAAAAGATGTCAAGCAAGTAATATTACATTATCTCTCTGGAGCAAAGAACATTGCTTTTATTAATAAATCATTGCTTGATCAGCAGGTTTTACTCTAGCTTAATGCAGCTAAGCAGCAAATACACTGTGAATACAGGTGAGAAAACAGTGTGGAAGCTGGGAGGAGATAGAAGACTTGGTTCTGGTGGTAGTTTTCAACAAAACTTTCTGGTTTGTGCCAAGGACTTAATTGAAGTTTTTTCTCTAAGTAAAATTTCAAGTCTGTAATGCAATGTATCGGCATTTTCTGTACCTTTTTCACTACACATGGTCAAATACTATGTTCACTATTCAGAAGACATGGCAGTCCTGCATTTCTTACTGTAACAACCGTGTATTGCTCCATCTGCTCTAAGCACACAGAGCAGTAGCTTACAGCTCAAAGAAGAGCATGCAGTGCAATCTAGCAATAGAAACTCTATGCTATTTTCAGCATTTTTCACTCTTTCTCCCTTCGAATTTTGAGCCACTCTGCTGTCCTGATCTGCCAGCACAGCTGGTGGCCATAGATTTCTGTGGAGGTGGCTGGTGGCCACATCCGCCAAAGGAGCAAGGCAGCCTAGGAACCTCTTTGGCAGCTGCTTACTGTCTGTGGATTTCCTTTCACTGGGGTGGTTATTACTCATGTTGTGGTTGCTTTGAACTAAGAGAAATATTGCAAGGAAGGAAGCTTATTGCAGCTGAGAATCGGGTATCTCTAGAGTGTTTAGTGAATCTACTAAGATACTGGCAGGTCAAAGTGACAGCAGAAGATGGGAATTTACCAAAACTAACACACTGAAGCAACAGATTCAAAGGCAGTGTCTGTAAAGTTCATATGTGTAAGCATTCTGAAATTTGAAGTTTGTAACAGCTGACTTAATGATTTACCAGATTATTCTGAGCATAATTTGTGTTATTTCTGATACCATTACATTAAGTCTTTGGATCAGATGCATTTTGATGAATTTCAGTTACATTTAGTATTGTTCATACTTAAATTATTGTTTTGACGGGAATGGAGAGACCAAAACAAATGGTTCATTTACCATAGTCTTTGCTTTGGGTGACACTAAAGATTTTTCTTCTCTTTTCTGATAAGGCATTCTCATATTACTCTTCAAATTAATTTGATCTGAAGTTAAATATTGGCTTACCCATTACTTCAGTGGCAGAGCTCAAATTAGAATATAGTAGTTTCTAAATCTTATTCCTGCATCTGTTCCTCTAGATAGTGTATACAAGATAAGTGTATACAAAGTACACTAGAACGGATTTAGGACACACCTTACTGGTAATACAGAGATTATTAATAAATTAGCTTTCTTTGTGTGTATTTCAGCAGCACCATGGAGAAAAGCCTGTGTCTCAGAATTCTTAGTTTGCAAGACAAGGAAATAGTTTTGAGTTGTTAGTAAGAATTTTCCATTGTACTGAGGTGATTACTGAGATTGAACATTTCTTATGATGCAGTAATTTGGACTCAGCCTTAAATGTACTTTTTAGGGATTATATTTTTTTCCTGATGGCCCCTCTGAAACAAAACAAGAGCAAGTTTTTTTTTGTTTTTTTTTTTGAAACTGACTTTATTATCTGGCTGCTGATCCTGCATCCTAGTGTTCAGGCAGGCCCCCCCTGAGTGAGTATATGTGGGTAGTTTAGCTGCCAGTCATGGAATTGGTTGTGGTGGCCACTATCTAAACTATCACTGGATGAACACCATAGAAAAATAGTTTTATCAACGTGAATTGCCACTAGAGATTATTGTAATATTTATTTAAATTCACAGTAATTGAATTCTTAGCATAGGTAATTGCATGATAAATACAGGTTAGTGGAAGCTCATTGGCATTGGAATAACCAGCCCCACAAATACACGACCATTGCTGATACACTCACCTACAGGCCACAGCACTGGGTGGGTATCCCTAGCCATTGTCAGGCAGGTGTCTTTTGTGGTGCTTAGAAAGCTGTCAAAATTGAACACATTTGAATCACAGTTTTAAAAACTTGCTAAAGCAGAAGACTGAAGGTCAAAATTTGCACAAGAGAAATCAAAACTTTATGGCCTTTTAAATGCTTTGTCAGTATTTTGTTGGTTTTTATTCTTGTATTTTGAGTTGTGTATTAGAGCACTGCAAATATCATGCATGAGTACGATCCCTCTTCCTCAATGCGTGGGCACTGGTTTCATACTTCAGCAATGAAGTGATGTGCAAAAGGGCCTTATTAGAGAGAGAATTAGCTCACAGGCAGTGAAATGGACAGCGTAAGTTCTTTCCCCCTTTAAAATGTCATCTGTTGACAATAGCAACTGCTGCTTGACTAAGAGTCCAGCAGCACCAACTCACAAGTAGATACTAATTTTGGAACATTTTGTTTGTTATCCTTAATGTCAGATGGTGACGTAAATGTCTTTAATCTTGTTTTAAAGAGGCAGTAGTAACTTTTGAAACTTCATACTCATGACATTTTGATTATCGGAACAGAAAGAATTTTATTTTCAGTGTCATGAAAGAAGTGGTATAAAGATTGAATTGGGGTATAAAAAGGAGGAGTAAAAATGATTTCAGAATTGTCTTTACTCTTAAGGCAGCCTTCTTAAAGCAGAGCTCCTACGGAGTTCTGCTTATATGTTAATTGTGTTTTTTGCCGTGTGTTCATGCCTTCATTGAAAGCTAGTCAGCCCACTTTCCCCACAGAGCAAAAGGTCGAAATGCACTGAACTTTGCATCTAGGAAACCACTGTTAAGGATGAGGGGTAGGGGAATCTGAAACTTCCAGTATCTCAGACTGTTTAGTTTTGTTTCTATCCATACTTCCTTGTTTTTGTAAAACATTTTAAAAAAACAAACCAAACAAACAAAAAACAGTGATGAATGAAAACTTTAGAAATCCCAAGTCATCTTTCAATAGGAAGAATTTTGTTAGTTTTCATACTACTAGGCTGTGTTTTTGCCAGTGTGGAATTCTTTTCTTATGTGGCTTAATTTATGGTGTAACTGTGACATGTATTTTTCTGTCAGGTCTGGTTTAGTGTGATACAAATGGTTTTATCTGTCATTTCCGTAGGACAAGAAAAGGTCTGAAGAAATCACAGATGATGGATTCTAACGCTAGTCATATGCTGGAAGCGGCGTTGGAGCAGATGGATGACATCATTGCAGGTATAATAATGCTTTATTTTATACCAAACTACTTTGAGATTTAACTATGTTTGTCTTTTTCCTTCCTGCAATTTTCCTTTATTTTTACTTTTTAATTATTATTCCCACTTTGTGAAGTTCTCTGTGACATACAAATCACTCCAATTCAACAGTTACGTGAAGAAAATTTAAAGTAAAATAAAGGAAGAAAACTCTCAATTCCATCTCGAGCATGTGAAATATTGAAGTAAGAGAGATATTATACTTTGCTCTAATGCTGTATGGTGACTTAAACACATCCTAACTGAGAGAGTGGTTAGAGACTGGAATGGACTGCCCAGGGAGGTGGTGGAGTCGTCATCCCTGGAGGTGTTCAGAAAACGAGTTGATGTGGCACTTGAGGCTATGGTCTAGTGGTTAGGGAAATATTGGGAGGAAGGTTGGACTTGATGATCGTGGAGGTCCTTTCCAACCATGGTGATTCCATGATTCTAGTTCATGTGGTAATATTCCGTACCGTATGTGTTAATTTTTTATTTCAGTGTGTCTTTGAAAAAAGTTGTCACCAAGGCTTCCAGTTAGCTGAATAGTGTATGTCTATTTTATGCACACATACACATAAAGATACACATAAGTATGTATAGATATAAAAAATACATATTTTTAAAATTTATTATGTATATATTTAAAAACAGCTTAGCTGTTCATTACCTCCATGGCCTAATGACTTAGAATGCAGATCTTTTTGTACGCATTTATATCCAGGAGTGGAGCTGGGAATTTCTTTTTACATAGCTGCCCACTAGAAAGACATATGATGCAAGACAGAATTTGCTCGATTTTGGTGCTCTCATAATAAGGCAATGAAAAAAATCTCTTGCATCACAGCGTCCAAAAAGAGAAGTTGATGTCTGTGGTTAGGACTTGGTAGCCTTGGGGTTTCTGCTTGCACACCATTCAGTATGAGCTCCTAAAAGAAGTATTTGGGTGGGGCCATGATCTCACTTGTGCACGGTGGGAAGGCGTTCACTAAAGCTATATAAATTTAAATAGTGAGACCCATGGTGTGCCACACTAATGATGAAGAAGATATCAGCCTCTTGTTGCTGCAGTTACTATTCTTCTTTCTCTTCTAGGAAAGCTTTCTATCCAGAGACTAATACAGAGTTTCAGATATTACCACCAGACTAACCATGATTAGACAGGAAGTCATTATCCAGGTTTTTTATTTTGAAGAATTTATTTTTTTTTTCTTTCTCTTATCCACATAGAAGTCTTTACTTTATTCTCAGTGTGCAAGCTTTAACAGACTGATTGGATATCAGAAAAAATTTCTTCCATGCAAGGTCTCTCAAGCTCTGGAACAGGCTGCCCCAGGAAGTGGTGGAATCCCTGTTCCTGGTGGGATTTAAAAGACCAAAAAAAAAGATGTGCTGCTAGGGTCATGGTTTAGTGGTGACCTGACGGTGCTGGATTAACGATTGGATGTTGTAGTCTTAAAAGTCTCTTCCAAGCAGAATGATTCTATAAAGTGTAAATGTAAATGTGAATATGTGAGAAGATACTACTTCACAAATAACTTCTCACACCACTATAAGTTCCAAGCAAAGAGGAAAATTTAGGTATGTATTTCCTTCTCCCTTCTATTTCTGAATGCTAAGCTGTATTCAACCAAGATTTTAACCAATGGAAATTAATTGGGATTTTATTTTTTCACCTCTTACAAAACATGCAAACATATAGTCTGGGAAGCATTTGACTTCCCTTAGATATGTAAAGAGAGAATAAGCAAAGCAAGTCGAAAACCATAATTCATAAACTAGGGAATGGAAATAATTTCCATTGCAAACTTTGGTTTATGATCCTAGCTGGTGCTGTGGAAGAGCAAAAGTACCACAGCAGCCCGTGTCCCTTTAATTGTGCAACGGAACCTGTGCTCGTAAATCACCTACATACACCCGGAAATTTAACTCAGCTTGTCTCTTCTGTCATGATTTATACATAGCCCAGCATAAAGTGGTGATATCATGGATGCAGTGATGATTCTGTTTTTCAGAAAAATCAAGAGAGAGAAAAATAAATATATTGTATTCAAATATATTTTCAGGTTAGATGCTTATTTTCTCCCAGGATTGTCAGAGCTTTGTAGTATGTTTTCATTTAAAGAAAAGGCTTAGAAAACTTGTTATGATTTTGAAGATTTTCAGGTTTATCATTCCACAGGATTTAATCTGCTTCAGTCTTTTCTGCTACTAGATCATGCTTCTAACATATCTCAAATTGTCCAGTATCTCCTATGAGGAATAAAAGACCATGTATTCAGCAAAGAGCTCTGTCACCTTGGTTACCTGAGCAGTGCTATGCTTTTTTTTTAGAAAACATTACAGTTTTACTTGAAGATGCCATTTCATATTCCCTTAAAATAAGTTTTTGAGTTTTACAGGCTGTATGGTTTTTCCACTGAGAGAAGAACATGTGCTACTCAGCGTTTTCATTAATGGAAGCTCTAAAAAATGGTGGTTGTGAGGCTAGTTCTGGGTAAGACAATAGGTGTTTAGCATTGGGTGTTTTTTCCATGCTATGTAAAGATAGCCTTGTAATGTGTGACATAACTGATTAAATGGCAAGAGGTGACTGCCTAAGAAAATAATATATTTCTTCTAGATTCATAAATAATATATTTCTTCTAGTTTTGTGCTAGAAAAATAATTGAGGTCAGAAGCCAGGACTGATTTTGTTGTTGTTGGGTTTTTTTAATATTCTTTTCCCTTTCCCGACTCCTTTTTCATATTGTTTGTGCCCATAACACTTTAGGGTTTTATCTTAATAAGTAAGGCATAAAATTAAATTGTTCCAGGCTTCCAAATAACATTGCTTTTACCCCTCTTACTTAGTTGCCATAATGGTTGAGACAGCGATACAGAGATGCAAAGCAAATGATGATAGAAATACTGCATGTCCATTCACAGCAGTTTTGTAGTGGTGTTGGTTCCCAAGCTCTAAACCAAAAAGATTCAGGCACACTAGTGGTATGTTGAGTTTTGTTTCCACAGTACACAGATAGGTCATGAGCAAGTTGGCACCTCTTCCACAGAGTTGACTTTAGGACTTCGCATTACTTACCTTTCTCATCTAATGTCCACTGATACTCAGTATAATATAGAAAACAAGCTTATGTAAAGATATGTGATAAAGAACCAAGATATTTCCCAGGCAATACATCTGTCAAGTCTCATCAATGTTAATTAAATAATTCCCATATGATTTCAGAATTATATTGACCTGTACCAAGAAAAAAATCATATTGCTTTATTTCTTTATTTATTTTCACTTATAAAGTAAAAGATCAATTGAGTGGGAAGGTTGTTTACCTTTTTTATTTACTTGTTACTTTCCATTACTAGAAGCAGATAAGACATTTCAAGACAGGTTAAGTCTGTTCAGGTCATTCTCTTCTAGTTTAATATTCTGTGTTCCAGAAATGTTTCTTTAATATCCTGGTATGATTGAAAGACCAGATATATCTGCTGGAGCCTATACTTGGATACAGTTATTATCCAAGTTTGTCTGAAATTGAGGAACAAAGTAATGATTCAAGTTTGATTCTCTCTAATTCAATCCAGTAAGCTTCTGCATGCAGTTTGTGCAGGGCCTGGAAAACAGGAATGTTCTCTTGTGGTAATATTCTCGCCATACAGGCGAGAGAAGAAATAAGGTAGGCAGCTCCTTCAGGAGAACTGGAGGACAGTCAGATTTCTATATAACTGCAGATTTATATATCATATGCAAATACTGGACAAATCGTCTGTGCAAATGTAAATGGTTATAGAGTAGATTTGAAACAGCAAAAAATCACCTGTTCAGAGCTTGTGCTGTTTTAGTTCACTGTATCCAGATTCCATGGTTGTCTCTAAGAAGCACTGGATCCAAAGACTAAGGCTCAATTTCATAACTGCTGGAAACTCACATAGCTGATGAAAAAGTTGTTTCCTTTTGAATGGGGCCTGAGTGGGTATTAGGAGAGTTTTGCTCTTCTCTTGGCCTCAGAAACCTCTGCTTTAGGTACAAAATGAGCATTAATCCCTATTTTAGAGAAATGAGAATTCCAGAAATGTGTAACTTGAATTGATTAGATATGTATTAATACACATGCAAAACCAGTGTTCTCTCGGTTTAATGAGAAAACAGTCCTGATTTCTTTTGTTAGCTGTAGTTATTATTAAAATGTTAGATTATGGTCTTGTCCTTTAGGGTAGGAACTGGACATGAAAATAACATGCTATGAATAATTACAGATTTGCAGTCCTAATTTTAGCCTTCTAATTTTAAAAGTCATATCCCTTACGCCAAATGTTAACATAGCTCATACATGATTCTGATTAATCCAAAAAAAAAAGTCTCACTGTCGACTGTGCGTCTTGATGCAATGCAGAATGTATTAGTGTTTAGAGCGCATGATTGTGAAGCAAGATTAACAAATTGAATTTCATTGGGCTTGATCAAATTTGACGGATAGGCCAGTGTTCCCAAGTCTTTTATGGCTCAGTACATCTGTACTGATAACCCACCCTCATAGCTACATAAATTAGGCATGTTTAAGGATTAGTCTTATTTGACTAAAATAGCAAAAAGGGCTAATGTGATTGTCAGTGAATATGACTTACCCACTAGGTGGAATGACTTGCAGTCCAAACAGACTTTTGCTGGAGAAAGCACCCATATGTCAGATCTGTCTATGCATTCTTTATTTGAAGTGCATGGCTCTGGCATTGCTTCCCTCTGAGATTTGACCAAGTTGTTATATCCCCTTTTATTCATCTTGTACCCATTTATTAAAATGCATTTCTTTATAGGACTACAGATATTGATTACATTTTCTTTACAATATATCCCAATGAAAATAATTTTTATTTCACTTTTATTTTATATCAAATGCCTTCTCTCTGTCAACAATCTAGAAATCTGTTATTTCCTTTAGTGAATGATGACTGTACTCCTGGCACAATACTGTAGTCAGCTAC